GTAAATTTCTACAAAAACAAAAACTAAAAAGAAAATTTTCTCATATTTTTTTTATAAGCTTCAAATAATAATAATAATTTTTTTTTTTACTTAATCGATACCTATAATTTATTATTATTATTATTATTATTAATTTTCAAATTCTATCAATTTTTCCTTTTATTCATTCATCGTGACATTGTGGTTGTTGTTGTTGTTGTTGTTATATCACCGTACTCGTAAACTTCTACTCTCTTCTTCTCACTTTCCGAACACGCGATTAATGAAAAAGAAAAAATGATTCCAACAGCATCAGCAACTTAAAATAATGATAGAAAAAAAAAAAAAAAAAAAAAAGTATCATGCTTCGAGAAAACCGACTCGATATATCGAAAAACGAAGCAAAAGGGGCTCGCGATTATACAATCGAAAATAATAATTTTTTTGCGTGCGTGTGTTTTTTATTCAACGTAAATCTGGATTATCGTCGACTTGTTTTTTGATACGCAAAAGTATTGTTGTGTACCATTGATCCAATCTCGATATGGAATCGTAATCTTTTACAGCTTCCGTAAATGCATCAACATTTTGCTCTTCCATGTGTTCTATTAAAACCTGATTGATTGAATGAATGAATGAAAACAAAAAATTTTTTTTTTAAGTAACCATCATCATTGTAGAGAATCTAACAAAAGAAATAAATTTTCAAAAAAAAAACCTTTAATAGCTTGTACTCTCTCGAATCTTGAAATGCTGGATATAACTGACAGTAACGTTCCATTGCGTGTTGAGCATTAAGAACATCAACGCACAAATGACATAAAGCTGCTCTGAAAAAATATTCTTTCGCTGAATATTTGAGAAGAGAATTTTCTAATGATGATGATGCTACCTAAAATTAAAACGATAAATTATCATTTCGAATTTAAAATTTTTTCGTTTTTGTTTTTGTCGTCATGATCCAAAACCTGACCTGCTCGTAGATTTTAATGGCTTTATCATAATTTTCAAGTTGAGCTGCATATTGTGCAACTTTAAGCATGCATTTGTTAGCCGAAGAATTACTTTCTTCTCCTTTGAAATAATCAGCAGCTTGTTCATAATGTTGTACAGCTCTTTCCAAGTCGGCAGCCTCGGTTTCATAAACTTCTGCAATTGTTTGATGATGTTTAGCTGCCATAGTGAATCTTCCCATATCCGTATATATTTCTATAGCTTTCAATAAGCAATTGACAGATTCTGGTAAACAATAATAAGAAATTTTTTAATATATATATATATCATTAATTGATATTGATATATAAATTAATAATTACCATTTGGATCTGATTTTTTATAACAATTTGCAGCATCGACATAATTGGTTGCAGCATCATGACGACTTCCAGCTTTCGCATGCAAACTGGCTGCTTCACAAAATGCACTCCCTGCTTGTCCCCATTTTTTTGCCATTTTAAACATATTTGCTGCTCTCGTGTAACATTCTACAGCTTCTTCAACTTTGGAAGATCCCCTAAAAAAAAAAAAAAAAAAATTAGGATCCAGCATAACCAAAAAATATTAAAATTGATAAAATGGGACTTGATGTTTACAAATAGGCAGTAAATATTTACTCCATGCATGTTTCAGGCTAAAATTTTTTTAAAAAAAAAAACAATAAAATTTTTAACATTTGTCGATTTATTTATTTAGTCTTGCAAAAAATGATATGATTTATTTATTTTGTTGTTGTTGTTTAAAATTTTGCAATGAGTATATAATATAATAAATTAATTTGCAAATATGCATAACTGTAGTAGTGACTCACCCAAATAACGAACCAAAGAATCCTTTTGAAGAAGTTAACTTTTTTTCAGCTTCAGCAATTAGCTGAAGAGCTTTTTGCTCGTTATCTGCCATATTTTTTATTTAAATAAACACATATGTACTAATTTAAAAGAATACTAAATTTTTTCTTTTTATGTCTAGTCACTTTATTGTTATCGACGAATTAATTCTTTACTTGTCCGCTATACAAGTAAAAGCAGCACTTTCTCCAAATGGTCTGCTATCTGTCAAAATGGCGTAAATGTGACACGTCAAGTACGTTTTGTTTCTAGCATGTACCGGTCAAAATGTCTAAAGAAGATTTTTCAAAAATTTATGATAAAACAAGGGAGTTATGCTTTGACAAAAATGAATTTCTCAAGGTTTTAAATTTTAATTAATGTTAAATTTGTTTAAAATTAAAATAACACACTTACACACAACACACTTGATGCATTACATATATTATTTATTTTTAATTTGGTGTTCTTCTTTATAAATTTTTTTCAGGAATCATTTTCGGTAGATTCCTTCCTTAGGGAACATAGAAATAAAGCGAGTTTGGAGGTGATGAGAGATGATTTAGGTTTTCATCTTAAATCATTGAGATTGTCTATGATAGAATTAATAAATAAAGATTATGAAGATTTTGTTAACTTATCAAAAGATTTAATTGGTTTGGATGACAAAATTCAAAAATTACAAACACCCTTGGAGCAAATCAAAAGTGAAGTTTTGGTATAGGTTTTTAAAATTCTTAACCTTTTTTTTTTTTTTATTCTCAATGCTTTTGGTAAAAAAAAAACATTGGCAAATTGTTTTATCGTTTTTTATTTTAGGCAGTTAAAAATGATTTCGAAGAAGCAATTTCTGGTTTTGATAATTGCTTTGCTCAACATAAAGAACTAATACATAAAAAAAAAAGTTTAATACATGTTTCTCAAGTAATGAGAAGTGTTAAAAAACTAAACAATATATTTAATAATAATAATAATAATAATAATAATTTAAATCAAAATGATTTTACATTAAATTTAATAGAAAGGGCGACAATGGAATATAATCAATTACAGTTTTCAGTATCAAAGTGTAATAATGATTTACTTACCAATCAAAAACAAGAAGCAGAAAATATAAGAAAACAATTAATGACCATATTAAGCAATAAATTTATAGAATGTTTAAAAAAAAAAAATATTAACGAATTACTCAAGTGTTTGAGAATATATGGGAGTTTGGATAAAACGACAGAGTTAGAAGAATTGGTTAAACAAGAAGTCATAGCTCCTAGATTATCAACCATTATCACAGAACAAAAACTACAAAAAGAACCTGAAGGAATAGATGAAATATTTAATGAAGTGATACATTTTATTGATAGAGAATTAGGAGACTTGATACAATTAACAACGTGTAAAAATAATTCTCCCACAGTGAAGGGTTATAATTTTATGTTGAGAAGTTTTTGGCCTGAATTAGAAAAAAAATTAAATTTACCTTTTATGTTTGCATTAGGAGACCCTAAATTATTTCATTCTAGATATACAAAATTAATAAATCTATTGAAAAATTTAGAATCGTATTGCGGAAATGAATCTGATGTATTAGTTTTCAAACGAAATGAAAAATATCAGTGTTTTTTACAAAAGTTTAATTTACCTGTTTATTTTAAAATCAGGTAAAAAGAATTTCAAACTTTAATAACAATTTCAAATTTGTATTTAACACTAACATCGATTGATTGATTTAAAAAAATAAAAAAATAATCGTTACAGATTTCAAGAAATAGCGGGTCAATTAGAAAAACATTTAGATGATGTAAATAATGATGTATTATTTAAAATGAAAACTAAAATGGAGGAAAATGATGTATATAATTTAAAAATATCAAATGTTATTATGGAACAGATAAAAAAATGTTGGGAAAATGATGTTTACCTACCCGAAATATCTCATTTGTTTTGGAAATTGAGTTTACAAATCACATCGAGATATTCAATTTGGTTATGGGATATCATGTGTAAAGTGAGTATATGAGATTTTGTATGTAAATCCCCACCCCCACCACCACCACCACCATGACCGCCATCTTTGTTTCTTGTTTTAAAAAATGTTTCAGGAATCGGAAAATATAAATAATCGTAAATTAGAATTATTAAATGTCGTCAATATTGGAAATGTCGTCGCGAATACGGAAAGTTTTCAAACACAATCAAGACTGGATTTTCTCGTGTGCCTTTATAGCGATACAAGTAAATTAATTGAAGAAATTGAGATTTTTCTAGAAGGTTGCAAGGGGAAAATTCCCAATCGTCACTTGGTAGAGGAAGAATTGAGTACGAGTTTAAAAGAATCGTTGACTTTGGTCGAAGGTGTCGTGCCCAAGATGGCCGACAGCATCGTTAAAGTAATCGTGACGGAAAGTTCGGTTCATTTTCGACAAGTGAGTCAAATACCCAGATTGTTCAGGAGAACGAATCGTAAAAGTTCGACGGAACCCTGCGAATACGTCGGACAAGTTTTAAATTATCCTAAAAAATTTTACGAACGTAAAAGACATTTAGTGACGGACGAAAGGATAGAAACGTGGTTGAGTCAGGTATTTAACGATTTGACGCAACAATATTTCACGGCCGTGAACGAAGTTTTAACGAACGCGCAAAAAACGGAGGAAAGCCTGAGAAAATTGAAGAGAAAAAGGGAGAACTTATCGAGTAAGAACAACAGCGGAGATGAAGAAATACGACAGCAACTCGTTATTGACGTTCACAGTTATTCGGACGGTTTAAAAGAATTTAATTTACCGTTAAATAATGTTAATATGTTAAAAGAACTTGTGAATCTCGTCGAATCGGCGAGAGATAAATCAGAAAAGCAATAAATATATATTCATAAAATTTTAAACTCTATGTTTTTTTGAAGAACCTAATGACGTCACATCAAAGTATTATTATTAATAAACACAAAAAAAAAAAAAAAAAAATAAAATTAAATCAAAATGGCTTGAAAAATGATTAATTGATAGAGTAATTTATTTTTTTTTGAAAAATCATTTTCAAAGTACAAACAAAAATTCGAAAGCATTTTTAAATTACCAAAAAAACTATTAAAAAAAAAAAAAAAATGTCCATATTTTTTTCTTAATGAATTCAATAATAAATAAAAAATAAATGATTCACTCATGATCGACAATACTTTCACAGTCAAAAAAATTGTTGTACTTCTTTCGTATCATTTTTGCAGTACATGGAAATCATTCAAAATGGCCGCAGCAGGACGAATAAATCAATTATTGAATGGTTATAAATAATTACATGAGTTTGCAAAATATATTTATACATTAAAAAATTTATAAAACTTGTCACGATAAGTGAACTGCCTTTTTATAATAATATTTATTATTATTATTATTATTGCATTTGTTTGAAACTTCTTTTATCGTCTCACACTGCGAATTCTTCTTTGTCAAAATTTAATTATTTACAATAAATATTTAAATGAATTTAATCATTGTCATCGATATCTTCTTTTAATATTTGTTCCTGTAATCTTTTCCTTTCTTCTGCTTGTCTCATTTTTCTAATAACCAAACTTTCATAATCTCTTTCATTGATGAGTGAATCATTTACAAATTTACCACTGTTTTTTGTCTGTCTCATGTTTTTATCAAGCCATTTTAATTTTAATGGATTATTCATAAAACCCAATTCTATCTTCATTGCTAATTCCTAGCATAAAATTATACAAAATGAGATAAAAAAATTAATTAATTTCTCATACTAATAAATGTTGTTAATATTAAGTTTAAATATAAAAATATATAATATAAATTACTTACAGCTGCTCGTTTTTCTTTGAATTCGATTAGTCCCTGACCTTTTTTCTTGGTTGAAACAACCACTGCTACTACATCGCCATATTTTTTAAAAATTCTATTTAATACATCTTCATTGTAACCTCCATTTTCCCCATCATTTTTTTCCCCTTTCCATTCAATTATAATTTTATACCGACTTCCATCCTCCGTCAAATTATTTACATCAGATCCTAACTCTCGACTAATTTCTTCTTGTAATAATTTTATTTCTTCTTGAACTAATTTTGCTCCCTCTTTTTGAAGTCTCGCTATTTCATCTTTTAATTTTTCTTCTTCTGTTTTCTGTTTTTTTATCTTTGCAAAATGAGCTGTTTCTCTTGCTTCTAAATCTTCTTTAAATTTTTTCCTTTTTTCATCTAAATGCTGATGCCTTATTCTAGCAGCTTCTTTTGCCTCGAGTAATTTATTATAAGCAGCTCTAGCTGATTCGTCTAATAGGATTTCTAAGGCATCGGTTAATTGTACAAATAATTCTGCTGCTTTTGGATTGTCTGGATTTTTATCTGGATGACATTTTAATGCCTTCTTACGATAAGCAGTTCGAATCTATAAAAGAAAAAAAAAAAAAATACAAAATTTCAAATTAAATATTTTTCAAGTAAACAATAATTTTTAACACGGAAAAAACTTATTTAATGTTTACTTACTTCATTTAAACTCGCGTTTATCGTTAGGCCAAACAATTCGTATAAATCAACTCCATCTAAATTTGTTTTACCCATTTTGAAATATTAAATTATGAATTTGTAAATAAATTGAACTACGACATTTGAACGTGGAACTAGACATAACCTGTAGCCATTGACATATTTATCGTTATTAAACAACTTGGGGTATTTAAAATATGCCTTTACCGGCAGAATTAGCCGTACGGTTATCTAAAAGAGGAATTTTAACTCCACAAACTCCGAGTTACGAAAATTCCACACAAGAAGAGGTAATAGCCGAAGATTATGACGACAAAAAAGGGTCTAATACGGTGAAAAACCATCTCGAAGAGGAATCAGTTCAATATACACAGGAAGAAATTCAGTATAAAATTAAAGGATATCCTGGTTGCCCGAACAAATACAATATTTATCATGAATGCACGGCGTACTGTAAGGAAAAATACGGAAATGGAAAACTTACACCTGACCCCAAGTACCTGTATTTGAAAAATAAAATGCTCCTTAAATATCCATTACCAGAAGGCTGGCAAGAAGTTTATGATCCTGGAACTGGAAGGCATTATTATTGGGATTATAAAAGCGATGCAGTCAGTTGGCTTCCTCCAGGTCATCCGAAACACGTTCCATCTGAACCCGCTGCTGTAGCAAGGGAAGAAGTGAGACTTGCAGAAACAGATGATGAGAGTGAAAGTGAAGAAAATAGCGATGAAGAAAGTGGAGCAACTGATAGGGATAAAAAACAAGTTAGAATTGAAAGACACAGAGCTAGAGGGAGATCTAAAGTCAAAGAAAATGATCTTGATCCAATGGATCCAGCTTCTTATTCTGACATACCTAGAGGGAAATGGTCTTCTGGATTATTGGTAAGTCGGGCTTAAAAGTTTCCGTTTTAAATTTTTTTTAATTATAAATAAATTTTAATTTTACCATTTAGTCAGATACCAAAACAGGAGTTGATTCAACTGTTGCTGGGCCTCTTTATCAACAAAGACCATATCCTAGTCCAGGGGATATACTTAGAAAAAATAAAGGCAAGCATTCACAAAAATTGACCACAGTTTCCTTTCCAGAATTGCCCCCCTCATAAGAGTACAATAGTTATTTATGTATATTATTTAAAAACTGTAAAATAATAAATATTATTTAAGACAACAATACAAGTATCATCATAAAACATGAGTTTTCAAAGTTATGCTCTCAACTTTGTAATTTTTCCATTGTAAATTATTGTTTTGCATTATTATATAATATTATAAAAATAAATAAACTAAAAACTTAACTTTTTTTTTTTTTTTTTTTTCAAATTAAAGTTATTGATTTTATTTCGGCTTTTATAAAAATTTCAATATTTATATTAATTAAGATAATTTAAATACCAAAATTATTTAAGTGTTTTTCATTACTCCCACAGTTACAGTACAAAACACATCAAGTTGTAGTTCAAAGCAATGAATTTGATAAAAATATAAATATTTAAAACCTTCCACTTCTTTTTCTACCGGAATATTTTGAATCGAAGCAAGTTTTTCGTCCTTGTTGTCTTCGTCTTTCTTTTTTTTGTAAAATCCATTCAACGCTTCTTTTGGGACACTTACCTTTCATTTTTTGAAATTTTTCCCTGTAAGAATTTTTTTTTAAAAAAAAGGATAAATAACACAGGAATCATTTAAATTGACATCTTACCTTTTATTCGTATAATCTATTTCATTGGTGTTTTCTTCTCCGAGTCCTTTGGGCAATTCGACTGCACCCCCCGTCATTAAAACTAAAAAAAATTTTTTAGCTTTTGTACTATTGGGAAAATCAACGACGACACCTCCGAAAAAACCAGCTTTCATCGCTTGAGCTGTTATTAATTCTATTTGCATACTGTTCTCCGGATAAAACTGTAATACTACTCTAGCAGTTCGACTCTGAAAAAAAAAAAAGAAATTTTTTTAAAATATTTCTATTTCAACATTTTTTTTTTTTAAAAATGACTTTGCTATTATTATTTTACCATGGCTGAAAACAAAGTACTGAAGAATTTGTACAATCTTTTTGTCGGTTTGTGTGTGGCTTTATCGGCATTACATAACCATTGAAGTGCACTAATACTTATGGCTCCATCAAATGATCCGGCTCTAAATGGAATTCCTTCACCTAAATCGCTTAAAATTACATCGCCTTCAATTTCTCTTTCTTTGGCTATATCTTGAGAAAAAAATAAAATAAAATAATGTTAATACTAATAAACGTGAAATTTTTCAAAATTTCAATTAAAATAATGATTTTAAATTTAAAAAATTTACCAACTTAGCATAGCTTGAGAAATATCTAATCCGACCCATGTATGACCCTGTTCTTCCAAAACGCTGCCACTTAAACCAGAACCACATCCCAAATCTAATAAAAAACAAGGTCTGTCTGGAAGAGCAAGTAATTCAATTGCTCTTTCTGACATGGAAACTTGTATATTTATCATTCTGGAACTAATATACAAACAGGATATAATGGATTACCAATACGACTACAAATTTATTATTATTAAAGGATTACTTACTTTTCCGTGTACTTCCTAGCTTCAACATCGTTATAAAACTAAAATAATAAGAAAAATTACTGTTATTATCATTTATGATTATTTAATTGCTTTATAAAACTGCTGGTGACAAGCAAATAAAACATAATTTATATTATTACAATATCAGCAATACAAAATAAAAATCATAGAAATATTATTTAAAATAACAAATTGTACTAAAGTACATTGGAAAAAATTAATTTACTAATTAAATGAATAATAAAAGAAAGTTTGACAAGTCTGAAAATAATATTTTTCATCGAAAATAATTAATTAATTGAAAATTAACATAACCTAATCAGGTCAAAATGAAGAAAAAAAAAAAAAAAATTTAATAATTTGTGTATTTACTTACAACTTCTGGAGGTGCTTGATGTTCCGGTCTTTTTGTGCTCATATTTTTACTGCAAAAAAAAAAAAAAATATTAAAATTATAAAAAATTATTAAATCAAAATAAAAAACTTAGAAAAATGTGTGTGTGTGTGTTATTGTTCAAACTTTTAAAACACATGAAACCTGAGCATGGAATAATAAAAATAACACAATGGACTGTTTAAAAGTCCTTCATCAAAGCAAAAATTTTATTATTTTAAATAAAGATCATGATTTAATTATCAATAGTGATGATGAGTCAAGAGTATAACTTAATATTAGAAAATTATGTAGTAAATTTAATGGAAAAAAAAAGAAAATGAAAAAAAAAAAAAAAAAAAAAATTTTTTTTTTTTTTTTCAGGCTTCCGTTCATAAACAATTAGTTAAAACTTTTCCATATTTAATAAATAAAAATCTTCGATTCGGTTTTTATTTTCCTCACCGATTAGATTATTCGACAAGTGGAGTTATGTGTGTGGCTTTATCAAAAAAATCATGTGCCGCTGCTAGTATTGCATTTCAAGAAAAAACAACTAAAAAATATTATTTAGCTTTATTAAGGGGTCATGTATCTAAAAGAGAAATAGAATTGAATGCACCTATAGGAGAAACAATCAAAAAGGGATTAAAAGTAAGTAAATTTATTTCATTTTATCGACATTTGAAACTATTAAGTCATCATATTTTTTCTTTTTCTTGTAAGATTATGTCGAGTGAAGTAAAAGGTGCCTTGCCAGCATGTTCAAGACTTTTAGTTCTAGAAAGGGGTATATATGATTCATACCCTGCTACCAAAGTATTGCTTAGACCCTTAACTGGAAGACGTCATCAGCTTCGAGTTCATTGTAATATTATCGGTCACACAATTATAGGAGATTATACATACAGTCAAAAAAAAGATGTATCTCCTCCTAGAATGTTTTTACACTCTATAAGACTAATTATTCCAAACAGTATTGAATTGTTAGATGTTTCAACAGAGGATCCATTTACAGAAATTAACACACCTGGATGGATGGTAGTAGAAAAAATTCAAAGATTAAATGAAGAAGCTATGGAAGTTTTAGCAAAGGATTAATATTATTTTAGAAACAATTACTTATATTTGTCATGATTACAAAAAAAAAAAATTGAAAAACACTGAAAATTGTTTTCTAAAAAAAAAAAACAAGCAATGCAGAATTTTTAAAGAACTTTGTATATGTGTTAGGTATGCACCTGATAGTACCGATGATCCATATAAAATGGATTGAATTTCCACTCGAGATAATTAATTAATTTAATGAAATATAATCAATTTAATTAAAAATAAAATTCCTCACACAGATTGGAATATGAAATGAATTCTTATATAATAATATTGTAAAATGATTATGAGGATCATAGCACAGTAAAAACATGTGGAAGGTAACAAAAATTCAAATTAGCACTAATTTTTTCTGTATATTTTTTTTGTAAGTTAGAAAAAGTGTTTATTATTTTATTATAAATTGTTTCAGTAGTTTTGCTTTCGACAACCAAAGCATTAGAACAAGTTTTAGGAATAAGATTAGAGTTATGGAAAATGTACATCTCGACAGAATATTAAAATCTAAGCCTAACTCGTTTTCAAAAACTCATAAATCTCAAAAATTTGTAATAAAAAATCTTAAAATTATGCTTTTACTGACTTAATGTCTGTTTCCCACTATAAAACATTTTTTTTTAAACTCCTTACTATCTACTCTACCCCCCCTCCCCCCAACAACATCGACAACATAAAACGACAATCAAATCGTGAATAGAATATTGTAAATTTTATTTTATTTTCTGATCGTATTTCAGATGCACGCCAGTACCTGAAAAACATAATAATATAATATATTAGTATAAATAAATAATTTAAAACCTTTAATTATACTTATTAATATAAAATTTATAAGCGTAAGAAAATAAAATAAATCGACAAACAAGAAAAAAAAAAAAAAGAAATTAATATTTCATTTATTAAAAAAAGTAATAAAAGTGAAACATATCTAATTTCATACCATTATTATACAATTATTATTAACATTATATTTCTATATTCATATACATATATATATTTCTTTTTACACAAATAAATCATATTCTTATATTATAGGAGTACAAAAAAAAAAAGAAAGACACAGTATTAATATCGATCTGAAATAATAAATTAGTCATTCATTGCTTGGTAAAATTATTTAATATGTCACTCTAAGATTTTTTTCTTTCATTAAAAATTCTTCGACTACTTCGAGAGCTATCTTTACAACAGCAGGATCGGACCTGCTACACAAAACTGACAACAATGCTGGAATTGCAAGTTTCATTGTAACTTTTAATAGATTACATAATTCTCTTTTTTCTTCCTCTTTAAGATTCATTAAAACTTTTCCTAATGTTAAAAATTCATCTGATAAAACGGAAGCAACGCCTCCACCTATTGCTCCACCTAAAATTTTTAATATACAAAAAAAAATATTTTAAAAAAAATATCTGTTGTGTTTGTTTATATGAAAAAAAAAAAAAAACAAATACTAACCTAACATCAATCCTGATTTACCCAAGAGTAATCCTCCCAATGCGGCTCCAATTCCAGATATGGCTAAACCTTTAAATGTTTCTCGAACCATAACTCTTACATTTTTATTTTCACCAATAATTGCCAAACATTCTATTATCTTTTCAACATCTCTTGAACTGGAAAAAAAAATCAAAAAAAATTATTTACAATTAATAAAATTCAAAAAAAAAATTTTTTTTTTAAATTACTAATTAATTCTTATAATTTATACATGATAAAATATTAAACCTCTTCAATAATAATAATAATAATAAAAGTAATGAAAAATACTTACGCTACCAAAGACATTGTATAATAATAAATAAAAATTTTTTTTTTTTTAAATAAAAAATTAAAACAGTTAAGTCTTGCAAGTTTGTCTATACAAATATTTAAAAAAAAAAAAAAAAAACAAAAAATTTTTAATTGTGTTATTATTTCATCAGAGACTATTTTAGTTATGAAACAAATCAAGAAATAAAATTTACAAAGACTGAACTAATCCAACTTCGATCCATATTTAATTTATTATCTCTATGGAAAATTATTCCTTATCAACTGTATAAAACAAATTTGTTTTCATTTTTTTTTTTTTTAAATTTAAATTTAATTTAATTTGAAATTATTATTGATTTCAATAAGTAACTATATTTTAAAGAAATGATGTCGTTATACATTATACAAACTATAAAAAGTGAATATAATATTAAATAAATAATATGTTTTGAAATTATAAAGGTTAATTTTATTAAATGCATATGAAATCATTTTATTGTCTTCAAAAATCTGTTCATTTGTTTTTTTTATTCTTTAAAAACGATATTTGATGAAGAGTTTTAATCATAAAATACTCACACAAACATTTTTCTCATTTTTTTAAAATTAAAAATTTTGTTTTAAAATCGAATGTTCTCATTATAATATGTTGTAATAAAAAAAAATCATGAATATTTCTTTAAGACTGTATCAATCATCATTCATTTTATCCTGTTGTCGACTCGCAATAAATTATATTAAATAAAAAATAGAATAATTAATATTTCATTTATTAAAAAAAAGTTATAAAAAAAAAAAAATACATATCTAATATCATAACCATTTCCATAAAATTATTATTAACATTTAAATATTCTAGAAGTACAAAAACAAAAGGCACAGTAGTAATATCAGTTTGAAATATTAAATTAGTCATTCATTGCTTAGTTAAATTACTTAATATGTCACTTTAAGATTTTTTTCTTTCATTAAAAATTCTTCGACTACTTCGAGAGCTATCTTTACAACAGTAGGATCGGACGCGCTACACAAAACTGACAACAATGCGGGAATTTTAATGTTTATTGCGACTAATAAAAGATCACATAATTTTTTCTTCTCTTCCTCTTTAAGGTCCATTAAAACTTCTCCTAATGTTAAAAATTCTTTTGCAAAATGTGAAGCAATGCCTCCACCTATTGCTCCGCCTAAAATTTTTTAATATACATAATTTTATTAAAAAATATCCAAGTCAAGTTAGTTTATGTGATAAAAATAAAAAAAAAAAAATTTAATGACCTATAAAGAATCCAATTCCGCCTAAGAGTAAACCTCCCAAACCTGCTCCAATTCCAGTAATGATTCCACCTTTAACTGATTCCAAAACTGTAACTCTTACATTTTTATTTCTACCAATAATTGTCAAACATTTTATTATCTCTGTAACATCACTCGAACTGAAAAAAAAAAAAAAAAATTAAAAAATTAAACCTCTTGAATAATATTAATAATAATAATAATAATAATAAAACTAATGAAAAATACTTACGATATATGACGCATTGTATAATAAAGAAAATTTTTTTTAAAAAGACATTAAAACAAACTTCATTCGAAGTTTTACAAGTTTATCTATGCTAATGTTTTTTTAAAAACAAAAGAAATTTAAAAAAAAAAAAAAAAAACTTAATTCCATTATTACATTAAAGACTATTTTAGTATCAAAAACCAAAACAAAACAATAAGTAAAAATTTTTTATCTCTATGGAACCGAAAATAAAACAAAACAATAAGTAAAAATTTTTTATCTCTATGGAATCGAAAAAAAAAACAAAACAATAAGTAAAAAGTTTTTATCTCTATGGAATAAAAATAAGAAAACTTTTCAAAATTAATTTGTTGGTATTAATTTAAGACTAACCATTTCCGGTTTAAATATTCAAAATATTATTATTATTATTATTATTATTTATATTTTTAATGTCAATTTTACATTTATTTTGACATTTTAATTATATATTTATTTATTTTAATTTTGTTATATTATTCGTCATTTCTTTACTTTAATCTTTATTTATTTTACTTAATAAAATTTATCATTATCATATATAATAATAACAAATAATATTTTTATTTATTAATTATTATTATTATTATTTTTTCTTATTTGGTTGTAATTATTTTTAAATTTTGGTGATTTTATTTTTATATTTAATTCGATTCGAAATTATTATTTAAATTAAAATGATGTTTGATGAAGAGTTTTAATCATGAAAATTCCCACACAAACATTTCAATTTAAAAATGGTTTTGAAAAATTAAAAATCGAATGATAGTACTTGAATGATGAAGGATTATTCTACATGCTCAACTTCTGAAAGACCATTTTGCTGCAATATAAATGGTTGTTTAAAAGTATGTATTAATCCATGTCGATTTATTTATTAACTTTTAAATAATAATAATAATAGTCTGTATGAGAACTCATATTACTATCATGTTTTTTTTTTTTTAATTAAAATATTTAGAGATTTACAAATGAAGATCATTTGATGGTACACAAAAAAAGACATGATATAATTCTTAATCTTGGATTGGGAACAAAAGATAGTTCAACATTTGGAGATGAAACTCCGACTCCTACACAATTTATAAAAAACTGTGAAGAAGTCGGTTTATTTCAAGATCTCCAAAATGTTAATTTATTCGAAGAAACATTTAAAAATGCAGTCGAAGCTGTCAAAGCTGGACAACCCATTTCCCTGGTAAAGAATTTTTATTTATGATGTCAATGATATGAATTATTGTTTACAATATTATTCCATAAATAAAATAATGTCGAATTTTTTTTTTTTTCAAAGGAAAAATCAATGGAAACAAATCATTCAGATGATACTTTACACACGCCAAATATTTTCCCCAATATCACAGATATAATTCAATGTAATTCAAATGTCAAATCTGAAAGTATTTTAAATAAGAAAGATTTAAATGAAAAATTTGAAGCTAAATATAACCGCCATGTTCCTCCGGGAATTATCGAGCATGACAGTTGTATCGAATCGGAAAACATTCCATCGTGTAAAATTGATATAAATAAATCATCAGAATTATTTAAAAAATCAAAATTTGAAAATGTCAATGACATAAAATTTAATTTGAATGGTTTTGTTTGTAATAATCAGGATACAAATTCATTAGACAGTGTTGTGTTCGAAAATGGCGATGCAATTTTAAAAAGTCAAATTCTTCAGTTTGTAACACCTGAAAACCATTCAAATTCTGGTAATGATGTGGTTTTTATAAATAATTCAAATAATTTATATTCAAATTTATCAATGATGCCATCAGAGGATTATAAAACTAGTACTAGTTTAAATGAAAATAAAATCGATAAGGGCTTACAAAAAAAAATTCCAATATCGAAATGTCCATCATGGAAAAAATTATCGACAAATTCTCTCACAAGTCAATTTTCTAAATTTTCCGAAAATGCTTTAAAACTCATGTCTAAGTTGGAAAATTCTAAAACTGAAAATGATAATAATAATAGTTTAATATTAACAACAAATTTGAAAAAGAAAAAAAAAAGAAAAAATAATAACAATAATAATAATAATAATAATAATAATAATAGATTTTCATCGAAAGAAACTAGAACTGAATTTTTGGCAAGATGTAGGTAAGTTTCGAATACATACTTTTCAAAAAAAAATAATTTTTAATAATTATCATCAGTTTGTAATTTCGATTTGATTTTTTTTTTTTTTTTGTCTACTCTTTCCTCCCTTCATCTCACAGGGCTGCTTCTTATAGATGTAGAGAAAAGAAAAAAATGTACATATTATATTTAGAAAAAGTCAATAGAGAACTCACAGCTTCGAACAACAATTTAAATTTGATAAATAATTCATTATATAAACATTTATACGACATGTACAAAGAATTATTCAAACATAAAAATTGTAGCGCACACGATGAAAACACGGAAAAATCATTATCGAAAATGTTTAACATTTTCAAACAAGAACCACTTACCGATAAGGGAAAAAAAACAATTGTGGGAATAAAAAAACCGTTAGAAAAACCGAAAACTCCTCCGAAAATATACAAATCGGATAATTTATCAAGTGAGACGCGTTTGATGCCCGAGAACAATAACGTATGTGTATACATGAAAGAATTTGAAAATACGTTAACGTTAGACGCGGCGGAAGTGACGTTAAATGATAAAATGGAGGAAACGGAAATACCGTTAAACGAATTTACAAAACCCAACATAATAGTTAGATTTAATAGCGTGGGTAACGAGGATCATTTATCATCGGATTTTTATCCGGATTTTTTATTCGAACGACGATTTTTCGAGGCAAATAGAGAAGACGTACGTAAAATTTTTTCGGAACACAGTTACATATTGAAAAAACCAATGTTTGACGATGATGGATTCGTCAAGTGTAAATCATTAAATGATAATATAAGAAAACAAAGTAGCACGGATGATTTTGAAATAGGTTTGATATCTAAAAATAAAAACGATTTAAATAAAATCAATACGAACGGTTTAAATGGTAAATCATTGGTAAAACAAAGAACACCGCCGCCTTTGATTTTATTAAAACCGTTTAAAAAAAGATCGTTACAAAATAATAATAATAATAAAAACATTGAAAAAACATTATGATTCATCATTTCCTTTCTTTTAAATGAACATCACAAATTTTTTCATTAATCGTAAATAACTATGATTAAAGCTCTCTTATATTATAAATAAAAAAAACTTTAATTATAATAAATGATTTCAAATTTTATATAAAATGTTATTTAAAAAAAAAGTAAAGGAAAAAAAGATGAAGGAAAAAAAAATTATATGAATAACGATACATTCCCTTTAGTCTTTGATTAATTAAAAAAAAAAAAAAAAAACTTATTTAGTTAATAAAATAATTAATTAATTAATTGTTATTATAATAAAATTTTTTTATTCCTTTTATAAAAAATTATAAAAAAGTTTTAAAAAAAAATTTGTGATGCATTTTTAATAATAAATGTTTATACATTTTTTTTTTTCTCCCTTATTTGTATATTATTCGATTATAAATTTTATTATAGATATTATTATTATAACTAATTGTTTCTTTGGAATAAGAAAAACCCTGACTCGATTGCCTATTATTATTTATTTATTATTGTATACTTTTTTTTTTTTTTTAAAAATCTGTAAATCGAAAACAATTTTCAACAATTTTTCTCCTTTACGAGTACAAAAACCGAAAAAAAAAAAGGCACAGTAGTAATATCAGTTTGAAATATTAAATTAGTCATTCATTGCTTAGTAAAATTACTTAATATGTCACTCTAAGATTTTTTTCTTTCATTAAAAATTCTTTAGCAACTTCGAGAGCAACCTTTTCAACAGCAGGATCGGTCCTGCTATGCAAAACTGACAGCAATGCGGGAATTGCAAGTTCCATTGTAACTTTTAAAAGATTACATAATTCTCTTTTTTCTTCCTCTTTAAGATTCTTTAAAACTGTTCCTAATGGTAAATAATTCTCTGCTAAACATGTAGCCATGCCTCCACCTAATGCTCCACCTAAAATTTAAATATACATTTTATTAAAAATATCTGTCAAGTTGATTTATATGAAAAAAAAAAAAAACATATAGTAACCAAGAAGAAATCCTTTTCCACCCATGAATAATCCTCCCAAAGCAGCTCCAATTCCAGATAATAATGCACCTTTAAGTGTTTCTTGGACCATAACTTTTACATTTTTTTCTTCACTAATAATTGCCAAACATTCTATTATCTTTTCAACATCTCTTGGACTGGAGAAAAAAAAAATAATAATAATAAATTTTTTTTAAATTACTAATTTTTTCTTATAGTTTATACATAATAAAAGTAAAAAGTAATGAAAAATACTTACGATACAAAAGCCATTGTATAATAATTAATAAAAATTTTTTTTAAACGAAAAATTAAAACGAAATAAGACAAAGTCCTGCAAGTTTTCTGTTTGTACCAATATTTTATATTTTAAAGAAGAAAATATTCACGTACACGCCGCAGTTGAATAATATTTACAAAAAAAAAAAAATCTTTTTTTTAAAATATTAATTGTTTAATTACTTTAAAAACTATTATAGTGTCGGAAAAAAAAAATAAAAATAATTAAAATTATTACAACTATTCTAAACCATCTACAATTTATATTTGATAATCATCTCTATGGAAAAAAAAAAAAAAGATAAACGTTTCAAAATTAATGTTGGTAGCATTTATTATGTTGGTACCATTTTCGGTTTAAATATTCATCATAATATTCACTTTGTGTCGATTCAAATTTTCAACTTGATAAATTTGTATGTCGGAATGGAATCGAATTATTTATTATTATTTATTTTCAATGCTTTAAATTTTTTTTTTATTAATTTTAAAGATCCGTAATTTAAACAGTTAATGGTTGTTTTTAAAAAAATGATTTTAAAAGAAATAAGTCTCAATTTTTATATGTTTATTCCTTTTAATTATGAAAAAAAAAAAAATATTGTGATGTATATTTTAAAAAATTTTAATTATTATCTCATTCATGATAATTTTCTTTTCCTTTCTTTTTAATTTTAATAAATAATAATAATAATAATTCTTTGACTATATTTTGTTATTTTTTTTTTTAAAATGTAAAATTAATTTGTTTTATATATATATATGGGAAAGAAACTCTTTTCACGCTTTTTAAACTTTATTTTTCGAGGTTTTTTTTTTTTTTTTTTTTTCCTCAAATAAAAATATATATGTGTAAACAAAATTAAAAATAAATTATATTAAATATTATTTTAAAAAAAAAAATTTATTTTCATTTAAATTTCCATCAAACCATCAGAATTTGTGAGCACTTGTCTGTTGGCTTTTGTACCTTTAGGTACGCAAAAATTAGAACCGACAACGCAACTTTTTAAATCGCAATTGGATTCGATTATGCTATTGTTAGCAATAACGCAATTTTCTAAAACGCACCTGAAAAACAAATGTCAATTAAATTTATATATGTATATACCTGAGATTCAATCAAATATGAGAAAAAAAAAACCTAAAAAGAAAAACAAATGATTGTTTATGTTGTCTTACCCTTCTTGAATCTCGACATTTTTAAATAAAATGCAACGTGATATTCTAGTTTTAGGATTTATGACGCACCCTTCACCGATGATTGAATTTTTTATCGATGTTTTTTCTTTAATTTTACAATTGTTACAAACAAATGAATTTGAATCAATTTGATTTGATTCGATTGTTGCTGATGGATGTATTTTCATACCCAATATATCTTTTCCTATTCTATCTTCCGAATCAGTGCACTTTTAAAAATGCAAATCAAAAATCAAAAATAAATAAATCATTTTTTATTTAATATAATTAAAAATTACATGATAAAACTTACCAGCCAGTTAGCTTGACATAAAGCAGGCAACGAATTAATTCGAATTCCAAAATCATTTTCTTGACAGAAAACTGCATAACACCTTACAACATCTCCATGGTATGCTTTTTTCAAATCTCCATCGTGATCATTGTAAGCAGTCATTTCCATGATGTTCTCTTCCAATTTGGTTTCTTTTAAATATTCGGACAATGTTTTTCGAACTTCATCGTTTACAACCGAACCCTCATCATTTCCAACATTTTTTCTTACATGTTGTTTACTAACAATATGTGGTATGAATTCTCCCTTGAAAGTTCCATATGACCTGAAAATTCAAATTAGGTTAATAAAAAAAATAAATTCAATTTAAAATCTAAAATTATCATGCAATTGACAAAAATTCAAATACTTTTCTACTGCTAAATATTTAGCCAATTTATAAGACAATAAATAAATATGACCATCTGTAAGATCTGTTCTTAAATTAAATCTGGGATGTCTTTTTAATATGTAAGTACTTATAGAAACATTTTCTTCGAAATCGCTAGCAGATGCGAGAAACATTAATCTTTTCGTATCTAAATCAATTCCGACAATGTCTTTTTCTGAAAAAAAAAAAAAAAAAAAAAAAATTATTTAAACAAATGTTTAATGTTCAATAAGAAAAAAAAAACAAAAAAAATGAAAAAAAACTTACCTGCTTTATATTTTAATTTAATTCCTGGTATTTCAAACGGCTGTGACTGCAATGGTAAAAAAAACATGGCTGCAAAAGAAGCAGCATGTTGTCTGTAAGTTGTTAAAAGTTTATTAATGTTTGCATTTGTAAATAAATCACAGGTAACTATAAGAATATCTTTTTTTATTTTATCTTGATTAATTAAATATCTTAGAGAATCGGCTGTTCCCCAATCTTCGCTATCAGAAGGAAGTGGTACCAATTCATAATTTATTTCAGTTTTATGAGAAAGAAGCGATTGATTGATTTCATTCAGTTCATTTTCCAAAACAACAATGAACACATCTGTAACAAGCGATATATAAAATTATTTTAATTTTAATTCATGCTTAAAAAGAAAAACAAAAAAAAATTATATTGCATACCTTGAACACCGACTCTTTTTATAACATCAATTGTGTGGCAAATTATAGGTTTGCTACCGACAGGTAAAAGACATTTTGGTATACCTGAAGTTAAATCAGTCATTCTTGATCCTCTACCAGCTGCAAGAATAACTGCTTGAAATTCATGATAACCCATGATTAATAACGTAAATTATTAACAACCTTAAAAAAAAAGAAAAAAAACCCCGTTCAAATTTATAAAATTTTCATTTCAATCAAAACAATTTTAATAAAAAATTAAATAACTTAAAAATTATTGTACTTACCGTTAGAAAATAAAAAATTATATATTTATTAACAAATAGTATATTTAAAAAATACTTTTTAAAAATTCATTTAAACTTTTGTTTAAAAAAAAAAAAAAAAAAAATTTATACGTTAATAAAAAATAACATATGAGTAATTTTTTTAATGTGAGTTAAAAATTGTTTCGTTAACAGGTTATGTGATAAGTATCAACTCTAACATTAGTGTGATATAAAACCGCTAGGAGGCGCTGAAAGCGGGAAAAACGCGTTCAGAAATTCTTCAAAAAAAAAATGTTTTTTTTTTAAAAATTTTCTACTTTCTTTTAATTAAAAAAAACTATTAATTAAATTTCAATAAATTGATAAATTTAAATGAAAATATTAAAAGGAGTTTGGAAAATTTTTAAAAAACTTCCTTTTTTTAACTAAGTAATACTGTTAGGACGTGCTATATTTGTGTTTTATTTTATTTTTTTTAAAAATTGTTTTAAAACAATATCGAACAGGTTAGAACAAATTTCAAATCGGTTAAATCAAATAAAAATCTGTCAAATACATTTATTATTTTATTATTTTAAAAAGGAAAAGGTTAAAAGGTTTTAACAAAATGAATACATCTTATGAAAAATTAATTGAAGATTCTTCATTGGACGATTTTGAAATATGTTATCACGATGATGAATTGAATAATGAACCTACAACTTCACAACAAAAAAAAAAAAGTGGTAAGAAAAATGTTCACATATATAAATATTTTTTTTTTTTTTTTTTGGAAAAATAATCAAAAAGAAAAAAGTTATAATTATTTTAAAATTAAATGTTTATACATTTCATTAATTTTTTTAGGATTTGATAAACTCAGCTCAGGAATGACAACACTTTTACTAAGTCTTTGCACAATTTCAGAAGAACAAGGTTTAGTTGTAAGTGTACCTGTAAAAACAGTTGTAACGACAATTGTAGTTGCAACTACAGGGATTATTGTTGGAGGTATACCAGGTTTAGCTGTTGGTAAGATACTTGAATTAAAAATTTCAACATGAACCAAATAATAATAATAATGATTTTAAATGAATGATTCATTCCATTTTATGATTATTCATTTTAATGGTACATATGACATAATAAAAAATGGCTAAGTTTTATAAAGATGAATAATGGGATGATGTCCCAGTTAAGTTAATGTAAATTTCACTTTTGTTCAGAATTATGATTTTTTTCAGGTATCATTGCCGGAGCAATTTTATCATCATACGGTTCATCGAAAAAGCAACATCGTTGTAAAACAATTGAAAATCAATCGACGAATCAAAGTAAAAATTTAAAACTTCGAGAAATATTTAATAAAATGACAATGGACCAGAAAAAAGCATTAATCAAAGAATTAATTGATTGTTTCAAACAGAAAAATATTAAAATATTAATAACGGAATTATTTAAAAGTCAAGAAGTTAGAAAAATAGCCATTAACATATTAAGTGATTTTTTAATGCAAAGAATGGGACTTCATTTATCAAAAAAATTATAATTTATTTTTATTTAAATCATTTTAATTAATATACAGCTGGACTGTATGAGTTTAACTTTTTTTTTTTTTTAAATTATTATTTATTTTGAATTTATGTTTTTATTTGAATCTATGGATGATATTTAAATTTTTTTTTTTTAAAAATAAAAATTTGGGTCGCAAATGATTTTATTGTTATTACGTTATTTTATATGTAAAGGTTTAGAAAATTCAAGGTCATAATCGATCACGATATTTCTTAATAATTCTGTTCTAATTTTTTTTTTTTTTTTTTTTTTTGCTCTTTTGTTAAATAAAATAAAAAATTTTAAACTTTTTTTATTGTGTTTTTATAATAAATAATTTTAATCAGTTTTTTTCCTTATATCTCTCTCTCTCAAAAAAAAAAAATCATTATAATTTATTTTGAAGGAAATTTTCAATTTTTTTTTTTTTTCAATACATCATACAACGAAGGTAATAATAGGTATGTGATAGGTACAGATACTAATGGAAGTAATAAATCAGAGTAATAAATATGTATTTGAAAAAAAAAGAAAGTAATTACTTACCTTTTCATTCACGATTTGAATTATGTGATACAGAAAATGTTATTAATGACCTTCCAGACCATATAGTTGAATTTGTACAATTTAACATAAGTGCCATTTTAAAAGGTCACGAATGCAAACAATAATACATAATTTTTTAAAGTCTCCTTTAAAATATTAAGCATTTTTAAACAATAAATGAAAAAATGAATTTGTTTTAAATCACATTAAACCAACACCTATTTAAAAATTAATAAATTAGTTAAGAAATTTTTTATTTGAAATCGAATCAATACAAATCCTATTACGATTTTATAATTACAACTCACCGATTACGCTGAATAATTCTTTTAAACACTTATTTGGATTTAATTAGCAATTACACGAAAAAAAAATTTAGTATTGTCATTGTGATAGTCAGCCATTACGGTAAATTCACGATGACGTAATTAAAAAAAAAAGCGGTAACGGTTTTTTAAACGAAATTTGGCAACAGTTTTTAAAAATTTACGTATAAGCAAATCGATAAAACTCATAGAGTAATAAAAAAAGGAAAGATTAAGCGGGATTTCTGTGAAACTGGCGGAATGTTCTCGAATGGCGGTATGGGAATGTTCTAGAAAGAAGAAAAGAAGTTGTTAAAATTTTCGTTTGAAAAAAAAGTGAAATTTAATCTCACGTTTTATATAAATGATAAAAAAGGTAAGAGTTTGCATATTAGCTTTTTTAAAAACGAAACGAAAACAAATTTACGGAATCATTTTACATAAATTTTTTTTAGTTTCTTTAATCTGTTTGAGGAAACCATCTTGCCTGAGGCTTTTACGCTTGCATCTTTATTTCATTTGACTTAAAACTGGTTCGTATATCAATATTTCATAATATATTTGATGTTTTCATTATTACTTCTAAACATTCAACGATAAAATTACGATTATAGTGTTTTTTTTTTCTTAAATAAACTGTTTTAAATTACATAAAAAATAATAATGATAATTATAGTACTTCACGTCCGTAAGTTATACATACATTCATGTGTATAATATTACTATTAAAAAATTTATGAGATTTTATTTCATTTTTATAAATGATGAGGAAGAAATTTTAAAAAAAAAGAAATGACGTAATCGACTTCATTATTGTTCTCAACAAAAAGTAAATGGGGAAAACGTTTTAAAGTCAATTAAATGAATTTGGGTTAAATTTATATATAAATAGGTAATATTACATGGTTGTATGATATACAAGTTGTTTCAGATTAATAAAAAAAAGTAATTTAAAACTTTACCGCCCACAAGAAAAAAAATTTTTAAAGTGTTTAAAATATCACAAGTTTTCTCAAATGCAGGTATCAAATTACTACAGTGACCAAGATAAAACTTAATGAATTGTAAATTTTTACTCTTAAGGAATTAACAAAAAAGAAGGCCCCACTAGGTAGTGTTATGAGAAGTATGTATTTATTATTAATAAAAGATAAAATTATACAATTAATAGAGTTATATATTTATATAAATAATTAAATTACCTTAACGTTTTTTGTAGATGAGATGGTGATGAGGAAGTGCTTCTTCTGGTTTGACTTTTGGTACATATGGGTTTTTCGTTGGATCCAAATTCAGGCTGTAATTCAAAAATATATAATATTGATAAAGGTAAATAATTCCATGATAAAAAAATAAATTTTCATTCTTTTTCTTAATTGATAATTTATATTGAACAAACCTGTAGAAATGTGGAGCTTCTTGACAGTTAACATTATACCACCAATCACAAGCAAATTCTTTTTGATTGAAAATGGTACCGTTTGTACAAAGGAAAGATGCACCTTGATGTCCTTCTCTTCCATCGTGACAAACGTGATAAGCCTGAGAAAAAACATTTTTTTTTTTAAAAAAAATTTATGTTGGATAAAATATCCAAAAAAAAAAATTTTTACCTGACATCCAGTTTCTACATTAGCATACATTCCTGGAACTGCTGGTACACTTCTGCAATCAAAATTGGTATGAGGAACTGAATGATAAACAGGATAATCAACTCCTGGCACTCCAGGTATTTTACTAAAATCCTGTTGTTCTTCTTTTTCTTTTAAACGAAGTGGTCTTTGATGCGCGTAGGTTACATATTGTGGTTGCTGTGGTGCAGTGTAGTAAACATCATCCTGTGAAACACAATAAACACAATTTTTAATTACAATTTTTCATATGTACACTAATACAATTAAATATTTCAGATAACAACAGCATAACTGTGTAACAACAGCAAACTCTCTCACCTTTACAATAATCGATCCGGTGGGACCGAAACATGATAAAATAAATAAAACGGTTAAGACTATGAGTTGTGACTCCATTGTTAGCCGATACGAATCTGAAAAAATTTACGAATGCTAAAATAAAAATCTTTGCACAGCATCCCCTCTTAATTTTATTTAATAATCAGGTACTTACATACAAGGTCTTACATTTTTACTGAACCAATTTTTTTTTTTTTAAATTTAAAACATTGAAAAAATTTTCATTTATAAAAAATTAAGCTTATTAAAAAGCTTAAAAAAATTTATACAAAAGTATAAATCCCCCTTTCGCCCCCCACAAAATAATAATAATAATTTTTATATTTTTTCCTTCAGATTGCTTTAAATGAAACTTAATAATATTAAGTTTACATGGGAATCATGCACATGTAATTATTATTATTATCATGATGTGAAGTTTCTCTCATTGTATTACATTTAATAAATATAAATAAATAAAAGGAAAATGAATAATTTGAAATGGAGGAGAAGAAGGATGGTAAAATGAACAAAAAAAAGGTAAAAAATTATAATTCTTAGTATCATTTAATATTAATAATAATAATAATGATAAAACGACCGAGCGAAAATTTGTATTCGCAGTTTTTTTTTTTGGATCGTTCGAGAAATAAAAAAAAAAAATTAATTCGCCGAGTCCTTATCCCCCCCCCCAGGGTAAAATACTTTCACTCGAAAATGGTGTTCGAGTTTATTCTGGGTGAAGGTCTTTAAATCATTTGTACCTTTGATCGTTGTTATACATATATGTATGTTCACGTTAATTTAAAGTAACGTTATTTATTTATTTTTTTATGTAATTATTATTATTTCGACTTTTACTTTATTAATTAACCGTAGAATCTTATTTAATTATTCATTACTTTTCGTTAACGTACATACAATCGACAATTTTTTTTTTTTTTTCGTTATTTGTTTAAAAACGTTTATTATTATTATTATAATTATAATTATTATTATTATTATTATTATTGTTATTATTATTAATATCGTTAAATGTTTAAGGAAGACATTTTTTTTTTTAACTTTTCTTTCTTTTTTTTTCGTTTAGTTTAGTTTAGTTTAGTTTAGGGAAAGGTGTGGTCTTTGTAACATTACTAATGACATAAGTCATTAACTTTTTTGGTACCTTATTATTTATTACCTTGCCATTTCTATCCGAAAATTTAATAAATGTTATGAGAATATTTTTTTAAACGATCGT